TTCACAGGAATGGCCGTCGTGAAATATCGAATCGGTTTGGCCTCCGAGCCGCTAACACGCTTTTCCTTCGTTCCGATCGACGCGAATCGGTTGTGTGCTGGCACGATCCCAGTTGCACCGTGCAACGTGCTTTTTCGGGTTATACGGTTATACCGTACCGTGGTCGGCAACTCGGTGGCCGAACTCGTCGCGTTTCAACCAAGAGAAGAGCGGTCGAACGTCGATCGAGCGTGGAAAACGCATTGGCCCGCGATAAAAGCCGCGAAACATTCGAAAGTGCGACGCGCTAAAAGGTAAAACAGATAGGCGCGTACGTACACTCGTCCGGCCATTGCCACCGCCGCGTTGGCTTTTACCGGTCGGTCGCCAACGCAGCGGATCTCCATTTATCGCCGTATCAAGCCGAGCCGTGTTCGGCGGAAGCGTTTTCCAAATTATTGCCGGTCAATTTGCGTCGATCGTTCGCTGGAGAAACGAAAACACTTACCTTGTGTTCACTGCTCGTTCATCGCCGCGCGTTCAACGCTAAACGTTTCGTTTAAACTCTTGTTAAAATCGTGCTCGGTCATTTTCTCGTCACTGGAGGAAACTGAAATAGTCAAGGAAATAACGTTTCGCGCACTTTTCCCTTTTTTTCGAAAGAGCGAACTTCTTTCTTCGGTGCAAACGAATTTCAAACGAAGAAAAATATTCGAACAGCCTCTGTTTCGCATGTTGTGTGTGTATACGGCGTGGAATGTTGAAATAAATCACTCGATTACTTTTATCACGTGACATTTTTATTCGAACGTGCTTTTTTTTTTTTATCAGGTTAAGTACATAATTCCAAGCTTATTGTGTTTGACCATCACGTACGATTTCACGTGGCAGGCCACGTCAGAGGATGCACTCTCTGGTTCCGATACATCGGTGTAGCTCCGACGGGCCGTGTTTCAACGGGGAGACACTCCACGGTCACGATTCCCAGAGTTCAGGAGCTTCAGGACTCCACGACGAGGCGGATCTCCCGTTCGTCAGGGCAACGCGTATTGTTTTTTTTTTTCCAGGACACGAAACGAAGCACGAGCATTAAATCGAATATCTTCCGGTTAGATTTCCCAAAGGGCCACGGCCTTCCGCGACAGTCTCGCGATGAACCGATAAATTTTCCACGAGTTTTCCCGCGACTTGGCCCTCTGTTCTCTATCCCTGCACGTATCCCTCAAATACAAATACCAATTACTACTCTGACGAATGGGAAACGAAGAACGGAAATTAAGGTGAAAATGATTCAAATGTATTCCTCGAGTTACTAAATTTCGCAAATAGCGAGGGAAATGGAGAGAAAGAGAGAGAGAGAGAGAGAGAGAGAGAGAGAGAGAGAGAGAGAAAGAAATTCTAAGGAACGACAGAGCAAAGGTGAAATTCAATTCAAGGGGGAAAATTAAGATGCAAATGATTCGAGCGTCAATTAGAAAAGTCCACGAAAGGCGCGAAAGGCCGTTGGAGGGATGGGTGAAAATTTCACGTCCGGCGGAGACAGTGGTCGCTCCTGATCTCCGCTCCTGACTCGCGTCGTGTCAGGGACTACGAGCCGGCGAAGGAACCCGAACTTTATGCTCGTTCACACCGCCCATTCCGAGGGGGCTGAGAGTGGCGGAATGGGGCAGGGAGGGTTAGAGTCTGCAAGCGAGGGTGTAACAGGTGGCACATTCCCTCTCGCTCTCGCTCGCACGCTCGACGACGTGCGATTTCACGCGGCACTGTCATTATTGACGCTACCGCCAACGACGAAGGGAACGTTCTGACCCATCCCTTTCACCAACCCACCCCCCTCCCCTCCCCCTCCCGCCACGTCGCGTTTCGTCTCTTTCCCCAGCCCGCCACCCTCGTCTCTGCCTCTTTTAAAATCCTTCTCCGGAGGAATTCTCGTTCCGTGTGCGAGGTCGTGTGCGGTTCGCCCTCCTCCTTCCCCTGCCCACCCTCCCCTGCGATTCTTCTCCGCAATAAAGCAGCGCGTGCATCCCCTTCCGCCTCCAACCGGAATAGAAATCGCATTTCCCTGCTGAGGTGGCGGCAAGCCTCGGAAAAGGAGGAAATTCACGGCTTCGAGATTCGAAAATGTGAGCCTGATGTTCCGTTGTAATACCGCTTGCAGCTGGCGGGAAGGTAGTACGGTCGATCGTTGCGGATCGGCAGCGGTTCGAAATCACCGCCACCTTTCCGCAGACGAATTCCTCCGAGTCCGCGGGATGACGAGAGCCTGTCGGATCAGCCGGCCGAGTTATTTCTGCCGCGGTCGAGCCGGTGGTTGGAATCGAACTTTGCGAGCGAACGAAGGCGAGGATTGATTAATTGAATCTTGGAGAGAGAGAACGTTGTTACGAGTAAGATCGTAAATTTCTGAGAGTGACGAGGAATTTCGTGACCTCGATAAGCGCGACGCGCTTTCAGAGTACGAATTTTATTTTAACCAGAAAGAACGAAATTGTCGACATGTTTCCTTTTTTAGTAAAAGATGCACAAGGCATTTTTTTTGATGAAATAGAAATATCTTTCAAATCATCTTTTCTTTCACACCGTAAAGAAGAGTCGAGCTTATTTGTTTTTGATGTTATTCACCTGCCGCGATAAACTCTCCGTGTCTGTGCCAAAGTACAATCCATTCACTTAAACTCCGCGTGTTGCCGCGAGCTTTAATTCGAAAAATTCGCCGGACGCGACGGCTGAATCACGAGCACGATCTACGGGTTACACGTACGTTAAGCTTTTCATTAACTTTTATCGCGATGAAAGTTTGAAAACAAGTGAACGCGGTGAACGCAATCAAGATCATAGGAAAGGGAAGTTTGCACGTAGCGGCCGAAACGAATGATGATTCACGATTCAGATTGCATCTCGGCCGGTGCCCGTCATCCCGGTCCCGAAAGTTTGCAAAAGCGCGAATGAAAAATTCCCCTCCCTCCGCTCCTTCGTCGCGGTTTAAAAGGTTGTGCGAAAGTGGAACGAAGAGTGAAAGGAGGGTGGCGTGTGAAAGGACACACAGGCACACAGAAGTTGGAAGGGGTACGAAAGCGGTGGAGTGTGGAGGTGAGATTTCGCTCGGACACCTTCGCCGTGTCCCGTAGTCAATTAGTATTCCGTGGCTGACTTGTGGCCTGCGAGGAGGACGAGAATCGGCGGTTCTTTCCACTGGGCGACGCCAGACGCTGAAAACAGCCTGGAAACATAATTCCGCGACGTCCGCTGTTTACCAGAAACGCCAGACGCTGAAATATTCATGAAATGAACTGCCGCCGGATCGCCTGGCCTTTTCCCTCGTCCTCGCCCCCCGCTCTCATTCTGTCTCTTTCTCTCGATGGTCCCTATTGTCTACCCTGTGTTACACGCGCTCATTTTCCTCGTCGTTCGTTCCTCGTCGCTTTCGATAGACACTCGCACGCCACCTCGTCGAGAGCGAATAGTACATGCATTTTCCAGACGATCGCCAACGCGATCGTATTCGACTTTGGAACGAAAAGCGAACAAATAAAAAAGGAAAGAAGAAAGGAGAAAGACAGAAAGACAGGAAGGCGCCGCCGATGTTTCGAAAATGATGATTCGCTCTCGACGAGGATTCTCTACACGTTCACACGGTTTACACGGTTTGTCGATGGATCACGCAATGGACCGACACTCGCGCTGCCTCTCATCTCTCCGTCTCGCTTCCACGAATTGCAATACTTTTCTTTTTTTCGTTTCGTTGATCGAGAGATAGAGAGAATCTTTCCACTCGGGAAGACTCGAATTTCGTCTCGGCAGCGTTTCTTCAATCTTCGTATCGTATCGAGAGAGAGAAAGATGATCGTGATGACCCGAGTTTTACAAAGAATGACTTTGCGACTCGTCGAATCGTTACAAACAAGAACCTCTAGTTTCGTTTTTATAAAATATATATGTCTGACCCCTTCGCGATGTCACTCGGACCACTCATCACTCGAATCGCACGCTCACACATTTTTCATCACACTCGGCGAGAAAACGATTCACGTGACTAGTTCCGTGTACGTACCTCGTTAGAAAAGAAAGAAAAAAAAAAAAAAAAAACTGTCGATACGCTGTACTCGCTCGTGGTTCGCTATTCGTTGATCTACCTGACTCTGATCTGATTTGGGAGGAATTTTCTTTCGTACGGGCTTTCGTTAAGGGAAGTTAGTATAGAAAGGAGCATTGTCTTTTTTTTTTCTTTTTCTTTTTCGTTTTTCTTCTCTTTTACGTTGCTGAAACTTTGTTCTCCGAATCACAACGCGTTGTCTTCCTTCTGGAGTTTTATACCAGTGTATATTTACAAAATTACACGTATATCGGATATCGCTGCGAATATGTTTCGTATCGTAATATGTTTCGTGTGTGTGTGTGTGTCATTGTGGCGTGTATTCTTAAGCAATTAGAGTTGATGCACGCGGCAGTTTCTGCCACGCGGTGTCGCTATGTAGGAAATCTTCTAAACGTTACAATTTTAATGTAATCCTTCTTCTTCTTCTTCTTCTTTTTCTTTCCTCGTTTTTCTTAATAAATCTAAAAACTACGATGGTAGGATCGTGCCCTTCGACCGGGCAATGACGTCGTGTTCGTCGGCAGTGTTCGTCCCGCTGACTCTTTGGCAATATTCTCTCGCCTCTGGCACCACTTTTACGTAGACGCTATCAGTCTCGGACCGACCGAAATCGCGGTGGGATCTCTCGTACAAAAATTGGCAGGAATTGGTTCTCGCTCCTCCGGGCCGCGATTCGTCGCACGTACCCGCAATCGAAGGATCTATGCATTCAAATGATGACAAATGCGAGGCAGTCCTCGCGAGAGAAAGCCCTCGCTCTCCGAGCGAGTCCGTTATCAAATCGGTCGCGCCGGGTGGTTTTTTTCGATTCTCCGAATCAAATTTCAATCTTTTTCTCTTTTCTTTCTTTTCTTTTTTCTCTCTTTTTTTTTTTTTTTTTTTTTTTTTTTCCTCGACATTAGGAGAGTTTAACCGCTAGGCAGGNTTTTTGAAAAATCAAACGTTCAAATTCTGCAAATTCTCGCGAAAAAAAAAATATTTATCGCGCGACCCTTTTTAATAGAGGCGCACTCGAATTGATGAAAAACAGCTGCGAAAGTGCCACTCGCGCCAAACCGGTACTGAAGAAATAAATGAAAAACAAATTTCAACGGCAATTAGAGGAAAATACTTTTTACAGAGTGGAAGTGCCGTTTAATTTTTTTTTTTTTTAATCGTTGGAAAACAAATTCCCGCAAAAAAAAAAGGAGAAAAAAAAGAAAAATTCCCCTCTGTGACTTCAACTTTTACAAAGGGAGGCGCTTGGAACGTGAAAAATCGCGTTGTCTGAATCCTTTCCGATCTGTCGAACCATCGAAGCGAAATTTCTTTCTTTCTTTGCTCGCGAAGAAAAAGGAAAACGATGCAACAGGGTCGATCGGGTGAATTTCATCGCCGTCGAAGCCTCGGTGAATCGGCAACGCGAGCTCGCAAGAAACGCGCGACGTCTCTCTACGACGACTCGCGGCTAAAACCGTGCGATTCGCCCGATCGTCAGCAGGCAACGCCGCGTAATTAGCACGTGCACTCGCTCAACGATTAGGCGGTCTATCCGGCCCGGTAATTAACGTTGGCATCGTTAGCGCGTTAGTCTCGTTTACCCTCCTCCCTTTTGCTGTACCAAATAGACGGACTGAAAGGAGCGTCGGTGTGCCTGCGTCTCTGTGTGTGTCTGCGTGTACGGACGATTAGGCGACGAGCAGAGGGGTCTGATCCGGTCTGCTAAGATTAAAAATAACAAATGCCACACGTTGCTGGCGTTGCTTCCTCGCGAACGTTCGACTTTGTTTTATTTCACTCTCCGAAGCAATCGTCGAGATCATTTCCTCAGATTTTTTTCAGCTTCTTCGACCAATGAAGATATGCATATATATTGACGAGTGAATCGACACTCAAGCGTGTCTGATCGATGATTGAAAAAAGTATGTAATTTGGTAATTTCACGCGCGACAGCCTTGCGTTTCCCTCTCCGCGAAGCAGCAAAAAAGAAAAAAGAAAAAAAAAAAAAGAAACCATCTAGCCTCGATTCTCTTCCACGTTGTTTCGGCGAAAAGTGTTTTCATCTCGTTTCCCCGCGAGGAGAGTTCGAGGTCGATCGTCGTTTAACCCTGTTCCCGGGGTTCCGTCTGCGGAGTCGCTTCGCTTAATGATGCTCCGGGGGTCCTCGTCGCTCGTTGAATTTTCATTCCTGGCTGCGCGTCGTGTCCATTAATCGTCACCGTACCGCGAAGAAACGCAGAGAGACAGAAATTGTTCCGGGGGGCCACTCGACGTCGAAATTGCGCTAATTCCGATGATTTACGCGGGCAGGGAAACCGGCCTGTCGGCCGGAGAGACAGATACAAATACACGGGACGAGTTCTAATTCACGGGCAACACGCGAGCACGCGAACACGCGTGCCCGCTCGGCTTCTCCCTTAGCACACTCGTGAACTTTCGCCCTACGGCCCGGGCTTACTTGCCTCTTCCACGGCGAGAGAGGTTTGTTTCCAACCCTCGTCTTCTTATTCTTCCTTAATTTATCTTCCCAGTAACAACCGTTCCCACTGACTTCCGGCGTGGCGCGCGCGTTGCAACTCCGTGCCGGGGTAAGAAAAATCTCGGCCACTCTCTCGACCCGTTTCCTTTCTTTTGTATCCGGCCAAATAGACCGGGCAAAACCGCATCGAACGGAAACCGTTTCTTGCTTCCGCTGCCGCTTCGTCTCGTCTCGCCGTGGATCTTCTTCTTCTCCTCGAAGAAGCGAAGAGTTCTTTCGAGTTTCTTTCCAGTTCTTTCTCTCGTCTGGCGTTCGCCGCGACGCGACGCGACGCGACGCGTTCCTCTCCCACTACGTTCGATTTCGTTTCTCGACTGGAGACGATCGGCGAATCAGAGAATCAAGAGGTAAACGGGCGATGCTCATTCGCAGGAGCGGAATGATCGGATCGTTAGGGTACGCAACGGTGCACGCGTGGAACGTGTGGTCGGGCTGGCAATTCCTTCGATTAGAACAGCGTCAGCGGCGTTTCGTCGCTGCCGATCCTGCCGATTCTCAGCGCGCTACGGTGTCTACGACGATACGGAGAGGACAGGCGACGGCTCGCGGCACAGAATCCCCGATTTTCTGATCGACACATTCCGCGGCAGCGAAGACGCTTCCACGGCATCCGAATAATCCTCGGTAGGATCGTTGCGCAGCCAAATGCCTCCGGTCGAGCGTAGACACGCGCTGGATGCGGTGCTCGAGCGAATAGCTTTTGCTGGCGGCGGTGCCACTGGCATTCGTGCTGCCGTTGCTGCCGTTGCTGCTGTTGCTTCGCTCGTTGTTGGCCAGCGGGGAACAATGGGTCGCGACGGCTAGGTCGCCAGGTTCTGCAACACACAATGACACGCAATGATGAACGATGCCTGCTGCTCTCCCTCCCTCCCACACACACACACTCTCTCTCTCTCTCTCTCTCTCTCTCGACTCTCGTTAAAAAACGGTTTAAAACGCCTAGTGCGTGAAACATGCGATTTCAGCCTCGACTGTTCGCCCTGTCTCTTTGTTTTTTTCTTTTTTCGTTCTTTCTCCTTCCTTTTTTTTTTAATCTCATTTCTTTCTCTCTTTCTCTCTCTTTGGTTGTCTTTCTGTCCGTGTGTGTGTACGTGTGTGCGTATGTCTTTCTTTCTTTCTTTCTTTTTTCTTTTTTTTTTTTTTTTTTTCGTTCATTCGTCCGTTCCTATTCGTTTTTTCCTTCGTTCTGCCGTACCGAGTCAGCTTCGCCGAACATTGTCCGAGAATTAAAGAGACGGATCCCACATGGGAACCGGATAAAGGGAAATCGCTCTCTAATTTCGCGCGACAATGTCCGTTAACGAGACAAAGGATTTCGATCGTCGACGACCGACGAAATATCGCGCGCGTTCCCTTTGCGGGGATGCTAACTCCTCGCCTTTTTCCTTGTCGAGACGGCTCGACGTTTGTTGGCGGACGTGACGATCCTTGGGACAGAGAGGAGAACGACGGGGAATAACGATTTCGTTGTTTAACGACGAGGAAAGGGAAACATTCCTCCGCCACAGCGAACGTACGACGTCAAACGACTTTAGAGAATTGGAAAGTTATTTTATTGTTCAACCACGTTCTCACACGCTTCGACGAGACGAAAGAAAGTACCTAGAGTGATGGAGTTGAAATTTAAAAGTGTAATGACGTCATTTTCTGATTTCTAGTATCCTTTCCCTCAATATTTCCGGGAAAATCTAACTTTCCATCGAGTGCTCGAAAGACTGCGAGACGTCTTGTCTGACCGGACACGGGCTCGTTCTCCTTACTCTTTCATCCAACGTCCACTCCTACTAAATTACATCCATCTCTATGATCTTTAGCTCCTTTTTCTTTCTTTATCCAAAAATACACGACACGTTGTTCGTCATACTCGGCTCTCGAATATCTGGCAAAAATATCCACTTCCAGCAGCGGGGGAGGGAAAACGGCGACGCGTACGGAGGACGAAGAACCGGGAATAGAGAGATCGTGATACGTCCGGTCGTCGACTAATTTTACAGCGGCGCCGCGGCGCAGATGAAAAACGGACATCCTATAAATCCTTCATGGTCGCGTGCATCCACCGATACGAAGATCTCTGTTGCCGATCGCAATTTGCGCGATCCCCGATATTGCTGCCGGCTCGTTTCGCGCCGTGAGATATTAACGCCAGGCTACCGAACCTCCCTCCCTCCTCTCGCCAATCTCCCGTTCCTCTGCTTCGACCACTCTCTCTCCTCATCCTTCTCCTCCTCCTCCTCCTCCTATATGCCTCGATACCTGGATGCTGCTACCTCCGGTCTATCTGCTACTCTGTTCGATATATATATATATATACATATATATATATGTATATATCGAGTACGTCTCTGGTGTTCCCGAATTAACCGTACCAGACCGATCTGCGGTAGGTCAAAGTTCTATCATGGACTGTACGCAATCAGCTGCTAATTGGGAAATGATTGGAGCCACCTCCGCCGCCGATGGTATCGGTGCCTCTAACTATCCCTGATCGGCGAACAACCCACGTAGCCGATATAAATGCCCCCATAAATGCCACAGCAACGTTTGCACACACGAGATGATCCAGCGAATCTGTGCCACGGAACCGTGCCGCCACGTCCGCCACGATGCCACGAAATTTATTTTCGTACCTTTTGCCTCGTCGCTTCGTGTATATACATGCACGTATGTACATGCACGTGTTTCCAGCGTAACTCTTTTTTTTTCCACGGTAACGTAGAAGCTAATCACAAATTTCTACATTAGTCGCTCCTCCCCTCCCCTCCCCGCGCCTGTTCTTTCTAGCTTTTTAGATCTACGAGAGAGCGTGTAACTCGATGAAAGATCAGAGAACGAGAATTAAAGAAACGTCCTTTGAACATGGACGTAGAAAGGGCCGTTGCCGCTCTCTCCGAATACATAATTGATATAAATATTTACCATAGCGCGCGGCTGCGTCGCGGAATACCCCGCGTTCCCTGCGGTTTCCTGCTTTTTTCCCCCCTCGACCCCGGTCGATAAATATTTTATAAGGCTGCTTAATCAAACGGGAGAGGGGGGAATTCGAAGCCAAGCACGTTTGATTTTCAAGCTCAGGCGAAGCCGGTTCGATATCGGCAAGTTCGACGAAAGCTCTCGAATCGTTTAAGAGGACAGGCGCGGACGCGGCAAGGTGCGGGTGGCCGTGCGCGCGTTCGTAGAAATTTCAGGCAATCCTCTGCGAGGACGGTCTAACATATTCGGCTCATGAATTCTTAACGAGGCCGCGCCGCCTCGCCGCAGAAAGGGAGGAAGTGCCGCCGCGACTTGTCTTCGCCGACCCTCCTTTATAAACGAATTCCCGGAACGAACACACAGGGGGTTGGAGATGAAGAGCCGAGAGTGGAGGGAAAAAGAAACGAGGACGAGGGACAGGGCGTCCTTGTGTAGACACGACATTAACCTTCGTTACGCGTGTTTGAATTTCTCTTACGACGACGACGACGACGACGACGACGGGAGATGGGTAGAGTGAGCTTCCGAAGGGAAAAGCGATAGCAGCTGATCACCGTCTCCTTGAAAAGAAGAGGAGCGAAACTAATTGCGGCGGACGATACGCGCCTTCTCGCAACCCTTCCTGTCTTGTCGTCCTCGTCCCCTTCGAGACGACCGCTCTTAATAGCGTGCGGTTATCACGAGCGGCGCGATTACACGCGCCCTTTATCCCTTTCTCCCTTTCGTTCTTAATTTTCACCTATTCGCCGCGACTGAATTTGAACCAAACGTCTTTCCAGCAGAAACTCCGGCGATGCTGGTTTTCAAACAGCAGGCGCGTGAATTTTCTGAAATTCGAGAACGAGGAGAAGGGAGGGGAGAGGGAGGGAGGGTTTGTTTAATAAGAGAGGGTGAGATTCAGTGGAGAAAAGAAGGCGAAGTGCTCGTTCGAAGTTTCGGGGATTACATTAAAATACATCGGGCACTCTAAGATATTGCGCTGATGAATTTGACAGAAGGTGCTGGCGCGCGTATGAATCACCGTGTCGCAATCATTTTAGCGACGGAGCGGGCGCTTTGCGCGCTCCTTTTGTCCCAGACCTCGACATCGTCCGCGACGTGTTCCGCGCTCCCGTCAGAATAATATTCTGCGAATCTTTCGGGAGAGCTCCTGCGTGCAAAGGATATAGAGGTGAACACCACTTTTGAGACGCGATATCTGCAGCCGGATTGATGAACATTTTCTTACCTCTCGAGAATTTTTTCCGATTTGGGACAGCGATCGATTCGATGAAAAAAAAAAAAACGACAGTGGAGATTCTCAGATTCTAGAGCTAGAATCTAGAGCGAATGAATCGATTTTAAAGTTTCATCAGCTTATAAATATATTCTGTTAAAAAAATCGCTCGCGAGTATTTAAAAAAAAAAAATACTGTTATAAACATATAAAATTTCTTTGATATAGAAAATTATAGATTTGGTTATATTGACCAATTTGGTAGTTCTAGCGTCTAAGTGAAAATATCTGCTGTCGCGAATTCCAAACAGCATTACCCTTCAATTCCAGAATTGAAATACAGATGTCGTCTCGTTGTCGACCTTGTTCATCGTTGAAAAGCGTATTTCTGTATTTATTCAGAGGACGTCAAGTTAAAATTTGTTAGAATTCGTCAGGGGAGGCTTAAACTTTCGCTTCTCTCTTACCCTGTCGATAATTGCGCAGTTCAAAGAGACAGCTGAACAATTTCATCTCTCCTTCTCCCTTCCCCACGATTCACGCCACGAAACTCGGCACCGTGGGTCAACTTTCGCGAAGACACTCGCCAAAATGGCTCCGACGATTATCCGCGGAATTAACTTGAACATTCTGACACGCGTTTCCCGGCTAATTATTTTTTCCGAGTTAAAGTTACCGAGAGTAGTCCACGAGTAGTTGACCACGGATAAACAAACTTCTTGGGTTGGCCCCGGCTGGTTCCCCAGCCACGTTCTTCCACGTTTAATTAGAACTTGGCCGGCGTTTGAGTTGCGAGACGCAGCGAAATAGATGAAATAGAGCTGTGGATTTAATCCCCGCGCGCTTAACCGAATTCGAATCGGGAATTTTCTAATTGAGTTTGTATTTTACAAGTAATATATCGCGGGAGATGCAGGGAACTCAAGTCGAAGTTCCATTAGTATAATTAGAGGATGCACCGGCGCCGAAATTGTTAGTAACTTAAACTCACGTGTATCGAGTGTATTTATAGAGGAGATGGTGTTTCGTTGGAAATCGATTCTCAACGTGCTTCAAGAAATTCTGCCCACCTCGACGAATTGTCATTGGAAAAACGATGACTTTGGACTTAAAAAAAAAAAAAAGAAAAAACAATTTCCCTCCAACATTTACAGTGGAAAATTTTTACGAATGCATTATCCTTTCAAGATGTAACGAGACGCGACTGTTCTATAGACGAACATTTAAATCAATCCGAAAACGTGCACGCGAAAGAAAATTTAATCGAGTGTAATTCACTCTGAGGATTCACTCGAATGCTGTACATACATTCTGTATTGATAATCGATCGTTTCAAATTTCACTCCTTCGTCCCAAATCTCATTAATCGTTTCAAACTTTCAAAATAGTTTTCCATATACCGTGATATACCTGTGAAAAATTCTCTTTGACCTTCTAAGTACTAACGTCCGATATATCGACGATATATAATATCTAAAAAAGCCGAATGTCCGACATATCGACGGTCTCTCTCTTCTTGTTTTGAATAGGTTGAGTCTTTATTTGATTTGATTAACTTTGAAAATACAATAATTTATATGAAAACATGTAAAATTAAATTTCACCTGGCGATTTAAATCCGTCCACTAG